AAATAATTATATAAAAGAATTTAAATCGGAAAAACTTTAAAAAGGGGCGGAGGAGGGGGTAGAGGAAGTGACGGAGTGGGGTAAGAAAAATATTTTATATTTTATTTATTACAAAATATTATTATTGTTGGTTGATAAATTTTTAATAATTAATTTTAACTAATATTAATAATTTATTTAATTTTTGTCAAGGTGGAATGCTTTATCCATGTAGAGTGTGATGTGATAATTTTTTTAAAATAAAAGAGATAGTGTATTACGCACACCATGATGAGAGTAGTATTAAAGATAGACGTGTTTCTCAAATTAATAAGTGATAGTTTAGGTATGAAATTTATACTCTTGATAGTTTAGGTATGAAACTCAAAAATGGATACTTAAGGTGTGTTTTGACACATTAAAAAAAAGAGGCAAATGAACTTAATAGGCTAAGGGTGTGTTTGGTATGAAGGAAAATGTTTTCCTAAAAAACATTCCTGGAAAACAAGTAAATTTTTGACTTAATTTCTCATGTTTGGTTGGTGAATACAAAAGATTTTTAGTGTTTGGTATATGAATGAAATTTTTTTTTAGAAATATCTTTTGTTTTTGCTAGAGTAGATTTTTTTTCAAAATTAAAAATATTTTTTAAACAGACTTAATTTACTTTTTTTTTGTTGGGGGGGGGGGGGAGGGGGGTTGCAGAAGGGGATTTGCTGGGGGAGGGGGGGGATCAAGGGTATGGGTAAAAAAAAAATTTGAAGAAGTATATTTTAAAATAATCTTAATGTTTTCTTTGGGGAGGTAAGGGGTAGAGGGTAGGGTAGAGGTGAAAAAATGTAAATTGGAAATTGGAAATATTTTTTAAAAGTTAACTTAAAAAAATTTTTGGGTGGGGGACTAGCAGGGGTGGCTTGGTAGGGGATGGGGGTTGAGTGAAAAAAAATGAAATTTTGAAGTTGAAAATATTTTGCAAAAACAAACTAAAATTTTTTTCGGGGAGAGGGGGAGGGTAGGGTGAAAAAAAATGAAATTTTTGAAGTTGAAAATATTTTTAAAAAACAAAATTAAAAAAATTTCTCGAGGGTAGGTGCTGGTAGGGTTGGTGGGTGGATCGGGGGTAGGCGTGAAAAAAAGAATATTTGAAGAAGAAATTTTTTTTATAATAAACTTAATTTTTTTGGGTGGGTGGGGGTGGGTGGGGGGTAAAAAAATTAAAATTTGAAATTAGAAATATCTTCTAAAAATAACTTTTATTATTTTTTGGGGGTAGGTGGATGAGGTGGTAGGGGAAGGTGTAGGGGTGAGGCTAGAATAAAACAATTGTAGTTAAAAATATTTGTAAAATGTTTTTCTTAAGTTTTGAAGGAAAGTCATTTTTCTTAGATTTGAGAAAAATGAGTTGATTTTGAAAACATTTATCTCAACCAAACCTGAGAAATTAATATTCAAAGACACCCTAAATCGAAATCATAAACACATTTACTGGGTTGAATTTGAATAATTAAGATTCAAACCTTTGTTAAGTGCAAACAAATAAGGCAAACTGTCACAAATCTAATCCATTTGAACTTTTTGAGACCCATTTAAAGATTTCTTAGTTGAAAAAATAAATATACTTAATGGCCTAATATCTAAACTAGGGGAGTACAAAATCGAACCAAATCACAAAACGCGCCAAATAGAAAAAACCCGACTAGTGATTTTGTTTGACTTGGTTTGGTATTAAAAAAAAAATCAACTACATTTTGGTTGATTTGGTTTTAACAAAAAAGTCCAACCCGAGACCAAACCAACCCTACATTACGTATGTAAATTTTAAAATTTTATTTTATACACAAAAATATTTACTTTGATATAATTTAAAAATATTTCTTATACTATTTTATAGTTTTTATTAGGAGTGTACATGACCGATTAGTTCAGGTTTTTTCAATATCAAACCAAATCACTGTCACGACCCAAAACCGAGCCGCGACTGGCACCCACACTTACCCTCCTATGTGAGCGAACCAACCAATCTAAACCCTAACATTTCAATATAATATCAACAGAAAGTAATGCGGAAGACTTAAACTCATTAATAAAAACCAATTCAATAACTTCTAAAATTCAACATCTATTATTCCCCAAAATCTGGAAGTCATCACCACAAGAACATCTATGATCAAATTACTAAACTAAGAGTATTCTAAGAAGCTAAAATAAATAAAAAGCTAGTCCATGCCGGAACTTCAAGGCATCAATACATGAGGAAGAAGATCCAGTCCAAGCTAGAAGCATTAGCTCACCCTGAAAATCCGGTGCAATGAAGACTGGCTAGAATTGCGGTTGAGTTGAAGACGACGGCACGTTTGCTGCACTCCACATATAACAAGGAAAGAATATACAAGTAGGGGGTCAGTACAAACACAAGTACTGAGTAGGTATCATCGGCCAACTCAAAATAGAAAACAGTATATATCAGATCATATCATAAATCAACTACAATACCCAATCTGTAGCAACAACATGTACAAGAATCTTTGATAAATACCGCCAAGTTCACCCATGAGGACTCAATCCTCAATACCATACTCATTTGGGAATTAGGTTCATTAGATTGAGTATATTAACATATTTCAAGATTCATTATCTTTATTTCTCTTGCGTCGGTACGTGACACTCCGCTCCCCTACTACTATGTGTCGGAACGTGATACTCCGATCCCCTAATTCTACGTGTCGATTCATGACACCAGATCCCCTAATTCTACGTATCAGTTCGTGATACCCGATCCCCTAAATCTACGTGTCGATTCTTGACACCCGATCCCCTAATTCTACGTGTCGGTTCGTGACACCCGATCCCCTAATTCTACGTGTCGGTTCGTGACACCCGATCCCCTAATTCTACGTGTCGGTTCGTGACACCCGGTCCCCCTAATACTATGTGTCGGTTTGTGACACCCGCTCCACTAATCTCAATCTATTAATTCATCAAGCCTTCTTTTATACCAAGGCATCATCAATCTCATTACTTTAGTTCATCAAGCCTTCTCTTATACTAAGGCATCATCAATCTCATTACTTTAGTTCATCAAGCCTTCTCCTATACCAAGGCATCATCATTAACAAAGAGATTAGGGTTTTTCAAGATTTGGGATTCAATAGCTTCATCATGCTTATTTTATCACAATTATATAATCACATTCATGCAAGCATACAATTAAGCATATAGAATGTTTTATAATACTACCCAACACATATCATTCGCTATTAAGAGTCTACTACGAATAGCATAAAAACCATAACCTACCTCCACCGAAGATTCGTGATCAAGCAAGGAATTTTCCAAAGCTTTATTTCTCTCTTCGTTCGTCTCTCTCTATCAATCGTTTTTCCCTCTCTTGTTCTTTCTATTTTTCTTATTCAAACCCTCTTTCTTTTACCCTAATTAGCATATAATTAAGTATAAAAGATGGCAATAGTGATCCACTAATTAACTCAAGGTTACCTCTTTTAACCCCTAAGTATTTGAGTTATTAATATTAAACCACTAACTTTATAATTATATGCAGGAATAGTCCAAAACGCCCCTTAAATTACTTAATAGAAATCCGACCCAGCCTGGGATTACGCAGCCTCTGACGGCCCGTCGTGCCTGCAACGGTCCGTCCTGCTGCTCCGTCACAGAGTTCAGAGACTCAATTCCACTAAAGGGTCTATGATGGTCCGTCGTGCCTACGACGGTCCGTCCTGCCATGTCGTCACGAAGTTCAGAGAGTCGATTTCAGTACCCAAATTTCAGAATTCTAAGTGTTTTGGAACGAGACCCCCTCGACGGTCCGTCGTGCCCATGACTGTCCGTCGTGGGGTCCGTCGTCTCAGTCAGTTTTTCCCGAAATAAAATCTACTGCTCAAAACGACTAAACAGGTCGTTACAATCACCTGTGTCACATTTTTGAATATACAAACCAATAAAACTCAGATTTTTCAACTTCGGACTTTTTGAGTTTTTTTGGGTAAAGTATTCATACACACATATAATTTACTTGTACTTCAAATATTCTTTTACTCCTACCAAAATGCTGAGTTATTTCTCAAGGAAACTAACAAAATATAATATGATTAATAACGCTAAAATATCTAACAAAAAAATAAATAATAAAATCACGTAAAACAAATATTGCAAATTAATAAGTCATAATGAAATTGATCATAATTTAAAGTACTAAGTCATGCTAAAATAAGTTTAGTAAGTATTAGTAACATGACTAAATATTAAAAGATCGTAAAATTATATCATGTATTTTAATTGTCTAAATTTATGTAAAACTAAAAAATAAATATTCAATATTATTCTCATTCTTAATGTTGAATTGATTTTCTTTTTGCATTAATATTAATTTGATTTTTATTTAAACATTCTTATAATCACAAATATGCATGGACTATAATCTTTATTTGATTATTAAGAATAAAAAGTATAAAAGATATTTAAAATTTTTATCAAAGTAAGTATTTTTACGTATAAGATAAAAATTATATATATAATGTCGGGTTGGTTTGGTCTCGAGTTGTATTTTTTTCGTTGAAACGAAACCAACCCAAATATTGTCTGGTTTTTTTTTCAACACCAAATTAAGTCAAACCAAACCACTAGTCGGATTTTGTTTTGTGTGACTCGATTTGCGATTTGATTCAACTTTCGATTCGATTTTGTACACCCATAGTTTTATCCTTTAATATATTATTTCAAGTTTAAAACTTAGAATTCAGAATGGTCCAATAAAGATTATAGTTCATAGATGTTGATAATTATAATAAAACTTAAATTAAAATCAAATTAATATTAATGCAAAAAAAAATCAATTCAACACTAAGAATGACAATAATATTGAATATTTGTTCTTTAGTTTTACATCTATCACGACCCAAATTCACAAGTCGTGATGGCACCTATGTTCCCAACCAATAGGTAAGCCAACCCAACATATTTTGCCAATTTTGTTGGAATAGTGAGGAAAAATAAACACTAAGTGAAAATCTCCAATATAAATCTCTTTATAAGTATGAACTGCAACAAGCTAAAAATATCACCCCATGAATTGGTGTCATAAGTACAAGAGCTTTTAAAATATGATGCAAGTCTGAAACTAAAATGACAAATCAAACATAAGGGATACCCTGTCTGAATACTAAATGACAAAATAAACAAAAGATAGAGGAAGGTGTGGGCCACGGAACAACCAAGCAACTCACCACAACTTCAAGACACATCAAATTCGGACTCAAATTGCTCCACGTATGCTCCCACTCGAAATCAAATCTGCACCACAGAAAGTGCAACAAGTGTAGTATGAGTACGAAATCACGTGTACCCAGTATATCTCATTGACCAACAACGAAGAAGTAGTGATGGAATTTTATATAAGAAAAAAAAAGCAATTCTTTAATTATACAAGTCTATATTACACTTACCAGTCAAATTTCATCAAATAGAGGTAAACAAACATCAAGTACTTGCCAACTACCAAATAAAATACATAATCATCAAAAATGAAAGATGTGATGAAATGCAATGCAATATGATACCATGAAATGATATGTCTCGGAATATTCAACACTCTCTCAACTGTATATACATGATACTCCTCAGAAATACATCGAGAGTTCATGACCCATGGGGTACTCGCGAGGTCCATATACCGACACAAACGATTTCCACGTGTCTGTTCGGGCGATCTCAACGCACTATCATAAAATCAAAAAAATTTTGCACGGACGATCTCCACGTGCCCAAATTATAATCTTTACATCTCACCATCCCAGCATGAACGATCTCCATATGCCCAACTTATACTAAATCTCATGTCAATGCATGTGCATAATAATATTTCAAATAAAGGGATGATGATGCACCTCATCAGTCAAATATCAACATAATACATAACCACCTCAATTATCACAACTATACAGGTGTAATAAAATAAACACAATCACACAAGAATTTCAAGTCAATAATATATCAGCTAATGCCCATATGCTTTTGCATTCTCAAATTACAATTCACATTCTATAGTGGTAACTTTACCTTTTATAACACCGATACTCGTATCAATGCCCGTCACACCATTGATACGAGACCCCATCTTTTGCCCTTACCTCTTTGTCTATTTCATTTTTTATCTTTAATTAGGAAAACGTCCTTCAACAAGTCTGAAGAGTCTTAACATACCTTAAATATCGAACTCGTATCACAAATCTTCAAGATTTTTCCTTTCCTTTTTGCAAAATTTCGGAACGTTTCCAATCTACCAATTGTGCAATATTCGTAAATAAGCGAGTTCATAGGTACTCAATTTATTATATGTCTAACCTAAACTGTAAAACTCACTCATATCTCCAATCAAGCTCCTACTCTTGATATATTTTATATGTCAAAGATTCTATTTGCTAAAATTCAAGCCTAGTGTTGAGCCTCAACTCCCCAAAAAAGTTATGAATCTAGTGATACTCATGTAACACAATACCATCAAAATTTGATTAGCTATACCCAACCTTCAAAGAGTATTACTATATGACAATTAAATAAATAAATAAAGAAATATAAAGTTTAAGGTCAATTAATTTGAAGTAACTTACCGTACGAAAAGTTAAATAAAATGATGACCATGGAATATTCGCAGATTCCATATATGGAATCAGGTTCGTTTGCCAATGATTTTCTATCCCCCCCCCCCCCCCAATGATTATACCTAATCCTTATTTAATGATTAAACTTGATAATTAATATAAACAATTTCCTCTACTCTAATCCAACAACCTCAATGCTTAGGGTAACCTAGTTAATTAACCTGCTAATCATTAGGAATCAATTAGAATAGCAAATTGCCCAACCCAAAAAATTTTCCAACAATACATACTATTACTAATTTTCTCTTGTCATCATCAATCTACGAATATTTATACAATACAATATAACCAATACTTAATTCTCTAATGCCAAGATACTAATACTAGTAACTAAATTTGGTAAATAAATAAATTAAGAACCAATTTCACTAATTAACAAAACCAGAAAATGCACTGTAAATGTGATCCTCCATTTTTTCCCTTCAATTTTATTCGGCCAAAATGCTTAATTTCTTAAGAAATAGGCCTATCAATTGTCACTATTATAATAAGCATCATTAATGGGTATTTAATGCCCCCAAACAAATAATTAAAAAGAATTTCTTTTCGTTCCTTTACAAAGGACTGAATAGATCCAAATTTCATATAGACATCCAACAAAATAATCTAAAATAACAATTTTATTTACTTTGATAACATACTCAAATGGAGAATTGAAAAGTTTGAGAATAATTTATTCACCTGAAGCCGACGGTTTCTTTTCCCCTACACATTTTGCCAGAATATATTACTGAGGTTATGCTAATTACTCATTTAATTTGATCCAGTGTATGGGCCAAGTGGTAAAAGGGTCTTAATAAAATTAATTGTTGATTTGTCCCATTAAGTATTCAGCTAAATTAAATATTTAATAAATATCCGACAACTAAAAAATTGTGATTACCGAATATTTCAAAATTTCTATTTTAAATTATACGGGAAGAGTCAAGATAGTCCGAGATCTCAAAACGACCTAGCGGATCGTTACAACATTGGTTTAGAAAATTAAAATACATAGTCTAATTTTAATTTTTCTTAAATATTTAGTAGTGTAACTAATACTTATTATACTTATTTTAGCATGATTTAGTACTTTTAAATTATGATTATTTTCATTATGACTTTATAATATTTATTTTATATGATGATTTCATAATTATTTTTTATTGAATATTCTTGTGTCATCAATACTCATCTCATATTCTGTGTTATTTTTTAAGAAACACCTTATATAATTGTATTTTGGTTGGACTAAAGAAATATTTAGAGCACGAGTTAATTATATATTTGTATGCGAACTTTACCAAAAAATCCAAAAATCAGAAGAAAAAAAAAACCCAAAATTTATTAGTTTGATTTGATTTATAGTTTTAAAAATTCTGCACAATTGTTTGGTATTTGAAAAATCCGAAAAAAAATTGAATTTTATTAGCTTAGTTTAGTTTATAAATTTAAAAATTCTACACGAATGGTTTGACTTGATATTTGAAAAACCCGAACCAATCCGATCATGTACACTTCTAGTCTGAACCATTCAGATTCAGACATTCATTAAGCGCAAATAAATTAGGCGTTAGTAGTCTATGATGCTTACCAGTATATAATGTTTTTACTTGTGCTACTCTTGCACTTTCTTTTTTCAGATCTAAGGGTGAGCTATTCCTATTCATGCCACTGATCATCTCATAACTAATGACTACTTTCTTCGAACATTGTTATTTATTTATCTAGTTTTATGACTATTCTCTGACACTTCGGTAAGAATCTTGTCTATGACGTTCGAATTTTAGAGATGGTATAGTTTAAACTTCGATACTTCTTATCTATTATATTTGCAACTATTATTTCTTCCTTTAACGCTTTAGATAATATGATTAATTATCTAGTTATAACATGCTTTAGTTAGTAAGATATGGTTAGCCCACCAAAAGTTAGTGTGAGTGCCGATGTATGCTGAGGGCGTGCTCAAACAAACCCAGTTTAAAATCTTCAATGGATAAATGTGGTATAACATTATACTCGAGAGGCCATGAAAATTGTGTCTTCCACTTACCATCAAGTAATGGAAATTCCAAGGCCAGATTACTACACTACTACTCAAATTATGTGTCATAATGTGAACTTTTGAATACCAACTATTATAAAATTAGTTGCTAAAGGGAAGTAGAGGGTCTTTTCAAGGGAAGAAATAAACCTTGATAATGAGGAATGAATTACATAGGATAGCATAATTTGATACAACCTTTTTAATAGTAGCGTTATAGATAGAGAATTGTACTAAAAAATTCTAACAGAATAAGCTGCGTGTATCTCTAACAGCTTGATTTACCCTTACAAATAGTAACAAGAGAAAAATCAGAATGGTGCTGATACATACTTTCTCAACTACAGCATTGATTTTCAAAAAAATCAGTATTAGTGGCCTCCTCATAGCAACTCTATGGCAGCTTTTCTGAACGTCGCAGCAAATTAAAAATGGTGAGAAAATCACTCTTCTGATCCTTTGAGCTCAACCATAATATTCATGTATCCTCTACAACAGTACTCAAACTTCAGAAATCTTAATTTTATTTTCTTCAATCACAGAGACAGGTGTTTAAAAAGATATTCAACATGACTACATAAAAGTGGCCCTTTTATGTTTTAAGTTAATGTCAGTATTGTGGTGAGAGGTTTAGGCATGACCCCAACCTGTATATTAACAATATGAGAGTAACAACTTGTTCTGTCTCAAACATCTAATATCTAAATCAAAAATATTCTTCTTAATTTTGATTCTGGAGTTCATTTATCCCCCACTATACACTTGAGTTGGGTGAAGGACAACAATCATCATAGTTCCCCAAGAATGGACAGATTCACTTCTACAGCATGATGGAATGAAGAGTTTAGATACATCAAGTAGTCTGCACTTCTAAGGATCGCATCCAGACAGAATGCCAAGGGGTAAATATAGATCGTACTTCAAATTTAAAAGTAGAAGGTTAGACATTCAAGGTTTTAAAGAGAGAATAAAAGAATGATGGGACTCCTTTATGGTGGCAGGTAAGGCTGATTTTACTCTTAAAAGAAACTGAATTCTTTAAAGCAAAGCAGGTCGAGTGTGATACCAACAACTTTGGCAGTCTAGAGAGAAGAAATCAAGAGTTACGAACGAAATGCTTAAGTAGGATAAAATACAGGAACAACTTACTAAAGAGGATTTGATCTGAAATGTTAATGTATTTATGGAAATTGAAGATGTACATAAATGTGATGAGATAGTATGGAGACAGAGATCTAGGAATCTTCAGCTGAAATAAGGTGACAAAGACACTAAGGGGTCATTTGGTAGAGTACAGAGATCTAGGAATCTTCAGCTGAAATAAGGTTGACAAAGACACTAAGGGGTCATTTGATAGAGTGTATAAGAATAATGCAAAACATGGTGTATTAGTAATGTTTGTATTAGTTATGATGAGATTTTTTATGCAATGCTCGGTTTGGTGTACTAAAAAGATTATACATTGCATAATTTTTGTTCAAAAAATATTTGTTTACAAAAATATCCTCCATAAATATAATGGAAAGGATGTAAAAGAAAATTGAGGGACAATTGTGTCTTTTAGCAATATGCTAATGCATGCATTAAAATCCATTGCATTACTAATGCATAGAACTCCATGGTATTAGTAATATGCTAATGCATGCATTAGAATCCATTGCACTACTAATGCATAGAACTCCATGGTATTAATAATACTCTTCAATACACAATAAATTGTATTACTAATACAAGCATTAGTTATGCATACGTTAGAAAAGTGTACTAAACAAGGTACTAGTAATAAGACCAAATTAATGCAAGCATTGTTTTCTCCAATACACTCTACCAAATGACCCCTAAGTTATTCAAATCAATGACTAATGCTATCGGAGATATAATATGATTGATAAGTTGGATATTGATGGAGAAACAGAGGAAGATCCAGACGCCATCAGAAGAGGGATCTTAACATTCTATCAGTACTTGTAGACTGAGAATGAAAAACAGAGACAAAGGTTCAACATGAACAAATGCATGTCCAAACAATCAGTAAAGAGGAAGACAGCTAATTACAAGGTCCTTTCAAGGAACAGGAAGTCGCGGAGACCATTAAAATGTGTGTAAATGATAAAGCCTGGGCTTTGTCAGTTACATTAGTTTCTATCGAACATACTGGCCAATAAAAGCATCATGAAGGCAGTGAAGTACACTCACAGACAAGGTACTTTTGAAATGAGCATAAACACCAAGTTGTACATCGAAAAAAATGTATGATGATTGTGTGAATTTGGGATTTTCTAATCAATGTTCTAAATGATATGGAATTCAGTAGGAAATGCCTAAAATGGATGTTCTTCGGTATCAGCATGGTCAGATACTCAATTTTGATTAATGGTTTTCTTGCGGGCTTCAGATGAGGATGTTGAGATGGATGTGCAGACATACTAGGAGCGAAAAGATTAAGAATGAGGTTATTCGGGAGAAGATAGGAGCCTGTGGCAGACAAAATGAGGAAAGTGAGACTGAGATGATTTGGGCATGTGCAAAGGAGGTGTGTAATGCCCTATTGAGGAGGCGCGAGAGACTGGTTGTAGGAGGTACCCACAGAGGTATGACGTAGGCCGATGAAGTATTGGGGAGAGGTGATTACATAGGATATGGTTCAACTTTATATTACCACGGACATGACTCTAAATAGGGAGTTGCGTATTAGGGCAGAAGGTTAGTAGGGGCGAAAGTGTTGTCTTGTTGTGCATAGGTTTAGACTTGTTAGTGCCCGGCATAGTGCTAGTCGTACCCTAGTAGTTCTTGCCATATGTCATGTATCCTATTTGGATTATCACACTATTTTGTTGTTGTTATTGTTCCTTTCTGCTAGATTTTACACTGCTTCTTCTTATTAACGGCTATGCTTTCTTTATTGTTTCCTTCTTATTTTACTTGGGTTTGATACAGTTGAGCCGAACGTCTTTTGAAAACAACCTTTCTACCTCCTCGTGGTAGTGGTAAGGTTCGCATACACTCTATCCTCCCACGCCCACTTAGTATGATTTCACTAGGTATATGATGTTAATTTTCCTATGAGCTTCTTTTCTTAAAAGAATGTGAAGGACAGCCAGTCATAGTGGATGGATAAGAGGCTTTAAAGTGGCTAGCATTGGGTTCAACAATACAGAAATACCCTACTTTTTACAGCATGATAATACACTAGTTTATTCTATTGGGGAGCACATAAGGCATTTAACGTTCACTATTAACTATATTTGAAGACTTACTGTGGCCAAAAAGTAAAATGGAGGAAGAGTATTATGTTCTCTGTGAATCAAATGCCCAATATTTCAATACTTCCTAGCATACAAGAATGTCAAGTTGGAAGCTGACTAACTAGAAACTTAAGGCATTTAGGTGAGAAGAAAATTGGCAAGGGGTGATAGCAAGATGGGAAAGAAGATTCGCAAGATTATGATAGTCACTATTCCTGTTACCAGCTAGTGTAGAGAAGATTAGATGCCCTATGAAGATACTCTGTCTGTCATATGGAGCTCTATTACTATTCGCCAGAATAAAAAAGATTGGTGATCAAGAATCTGAAGTAGCTGTAGCAGCATTTTGATGGAATGGCTATTGAGCGACAATAATAGAAGAACAAGCACTAGTCAGAGAAGTTATCACTAATCTGGGGGAAGAACATTTTGAGGCTAGGGGTAGCAGAGGGGGATTCTGATCATGTGGGATAAAAGGGAGTGGGCAGGGCAATGGTGGAGGTGATTGGTCAACTGATCTATTGTGATTTTTTAATTTTTTTGGGTATAAAACAGGGGATCTAACCTGGTACATCACTATCGTGTATGCAGATTGCAACAGGGTGACAGGAAGAGAGTTGTGGAGTGAGCTAGCAGTTACTAGAAGCAGATGTGAGGGACCATGGGTGGTGTATGGGGACTTTAATGTAACCACGTTTGTAGCAGAGAGAGTCAATGTTTGAATTCTGTAAGAGCGTAGACCTGGAGCTGGTAGATCCCCCTTCATTTGGAGGACCATTTACATGAAGGAGGGGGGAAATCACAACAGTGCATCTAGGACTGACAGGTTCCTCTATTTAGCAGATTGGGAGGACAACTTTCTCAAGTCACGCAAATTTTTGTGCAATGAAACTAGGGAGTTTTGCATTGCAAATTCATTGCCCAATAGTGGAATATGTATTTCAGTCTAACAAAGACTGTATGGACAAGGAATGAGCATACAACGGACCTCATGTACTGTTGGATTTGAAGAGGGGGAGGCAAAAGAGCTGATGGAGGACAATACATTCATGCGTTTGGTGGACAATTTGGAAAGAGAGGAATGAAAGATGTTTCAAAAATAAGATTAAGTCCATCCATGGAGTCAAATGTAATAGCTTAGAGACTTTACTGTCTGGTTATAGAAAATTGCATTGAGGAAATAGAAGTGTTGAATGATCTCCTAGGAGCACCGTAAAGCTAGATCTTACTATATCGTAACTTTTTTTGAGGGTGGCCAGCAGTCCCTAATTGCTGAGTTATACAAGAGCACTAATTATCAAACAAAAGAAAAAAGAAAAAAGAAAAAAGAGAAGTCATCACTATTCTCCATATGGCGTGGGAGTATAGAGGAATGTCAAAAATTTGTAGCCCTCTTTTATCACATATTGATATTAAAGTGGGTAATGGTGGGAGGGTATCCTTTGGAATAACAACTGATTAAGGCATGGTATCTTTTAAAAACAGTTTCCGTTACATACTCAACAATGTACAACAGCTAGAGACTACTTTGGGCTCCTACAAAGAACTTGGCTGGAACTTAAACTTTTGAAGAAGGTAATGACTAGAAAATAGGCCGGGGTGCAGATTTTTTGAAAGCACAAGAGCATTTTTACGGTTTAAACAACTATGAAGATAAAGTAAATTTGTGTTTCAGGATGTCTCTCTATGCCTCTCTTACCTCTGATGATCAACAAGCACTCTCTTGACTTAGAAGATGAAAGGAGGACAAACTACCAAAAGTTACATGTTTCTCTTGAATAGTAGTCAAAGAATCATGCTTGCCACATGAGAATTGTAGAAAAGGCGCTTCCACCTTTTGTTCCAGATGATACTTGTGTGGAGGTAAACTAGAGATAGTAAGGGTGCTCAGTATGGACGAAAATATTTTCCAATTATACAATGTTTGATTGGTGAATATTTTTGGATGATATTTTTTCTAGGAAAACAAGTTCCTTAAAAATGAGGAAAATGACTTCCCTAGTGAAAGTAAGTAAATTAAGTCCCACAAGTAGCATTCCACATAGGTTGTGTCCGCACACCCTCCAACACACCTCATCTTCACCCCCGCTCCCTGTAACCCCCATCTCACCACCCCACCCCCACCACCCATAGTGTTTGTTTAAATTATATACAAATATTTTTAGGATAATATTTTTTGCTTACGTACCAAACACAAAAAAAAATAAGTAATAACCTCACTGATTTTCCTAGAAGCTTTTTCCTTCACACCGAACATACCCTATATCATCTTGTCCCTACATCGCCCTAATATGGATATTTGGTGTGTGGTGTGTGTGCGTGGAGGGGGGGGGGGGGCTGAGTAAGTAGAGGAGACAAAACAAGCGGTGGAATCTCACTCTTGTGGTGAACTTTTTGGAGATAGAGGAATGCAATATGCTTTCAAGACAAAGTCATCTCTCTGCTGAATATCAAGATTAAGCCAAACATGTTCCACATTTTTATGTAAAAAGGGAATTGTAAATGAAGTTGAATCATTGAAAGATCTAATAGGGACTAATGCTTTGTACTATGTAATACCCTCTATATATTGCAGAACCTTTGAGCTAAAGCAATAACATACCTTTTCAACAAGGAAAAGAAAAGAAATGGATTGTACAGGGTTTGTGGCACAGACAGCCTAGTTTCTACACTACCATGACTGCTTTGAGACTACAAAAATGGAAAATGTCAAGTGATTTCCAGTTAGGAAAAAAGTATATCATATAGATTAAGGGTCAGTCATGCTAGAATGCTTAAACATACAAGTTGATTCATGAAGTATTTCAGAGGATACTTTAGGTTCTCTTTTACTTATACACTCATGATGGTACCAATTCTCCCAGGACAAGTACATCACTAAGACTCTTACGAGTCAATGGACATTTTAAGAGTTGTCAACAAAAGCCAAAAGATACCTACTGCATGTAGAGCATCACGCCCAGTTGCTCACACTTGACCAGGGTTGATAGAAGGTGCTCTTTCAAAATATAATGAAGATAGTTGACCCACTTACCTAGACAAGACAATAAAAGAAAATCTTCAAGCCAAAATTAGGTTGACAAGCAATATTGCCCTATCACAAAGATGTGAGATAAAGAAACTTCAGTTAAACGAGAACAAATATTGTCCTGATTGAGATAACCATTCAAATATCAATGTCATATAAATCGTCTGATTTCTATACTACTTGTCAATAAACAAGAACCATCAGTTGAATAGAAAATGAAATTGATATCAATTTCTAGTTTTTGTCACTCCGTAATCTTTTGAAAAGTCATTGTGCAACAATAGATCTCCAGCAATTCAAAGTAAACAAGCAGTAACATGCTTGACAAGAGCATGAAAAAGAATCAAAGATATTTTTAAGGAACTGAATAAACCTCTTTGCTCTGCAGCCATTGTCTCCACTGTAGGGATTTCTCTTCAGCTTCTACTTTTCATGTATAAATCATACATCTCGGGCATCTTTTCCCTGAAAGGAAGTACACATTTCTTTTGAAAATCTGATTCAGAAAATGACACAGCAGTGTAAAGACATAGCCTCCCTTTTAGCAGCTGGTTTTCTTTAAGAAATTTCAAGATTTCATTCCTTGGCACGATCCTCTTCTCCATGCTAAACTTTAAAAGCGGTGCACGAGAAGCCAGATAATTAGGTTCATACCCCAATTCGTTCATGAAAAACTTCAATGTAGTCTTTATCTTAGCTTCTGATGAAGCCAAACAGTAAGGAAGCTTTTGCACCATTAGGCAGATATCAGAATCAGACCATCCAAAACTGCGAAAAATATCTAATTTCCTTTCTAATTTAGATTCATCAAGCAACACAAGTACTTCAACGCCATGAAGAAACATCCCTGAAGTGAGAGGCATATGAAAATCATTTACTAGTCGATGTACTGCTCTCTCAAACCACTCAGGACGATTGAGGAGAAACCTAGGATGCCTGTGAAAAGCCTTGAGAATATGAGGCGTTGTAAAGCCAAAATTTTGTAACAATGATATATTGGGTGGCATAACTTTAGGAAGATTGTAGGAAAACAACCTAGGCTCTTTTATAAGAATCATAGCAACATGATGATGAGTAGGCAATAAATCTCTTAGATAAACAAGATTAGGCTGTATAATAGTATCTAAACCTCTTGTCAAAAAATTGCTTCTTCTCATAAATGTAGCAAGTTGAGGTACAGACAAGCCAAGTCCTTGTAAAACCTTGATCTTGGGTTTGAGATTTTCATCAACACGACAAAACAACAATTGAGGAGAAGAAGAAACAAGAGTTTTGATCTGTGATTTGTTCATACCCATTTCATCAAGGAGATCAAATAACAAATGCGGGTCATAGTGTCTGTGTTTAGTACGAGATAGCTTGGCGCTTGTAGAAATGGCTTCTTTTGTTGAGAAGTCAAGTGAGTTTACCAGGAACTCCGCCAATACATTAGCAGGTGCCGCCGCCGCCGCTGCAACTGTGGAATAAAGGCAGGAAAAAAGATGCTTTTGTGCGCCATTGCAACTAATTCTAAACATCAAAACAAGCACCACTTGTTATTTGTCGGCAGTATCCTTACTTCCCCTCTGCTGCTTCACCCGCCTGAGTAGAATGTAGATGAGTCTTTAGATTAGGGCTGGGCGTGTGGCCGTCCAGCTCAGTTTGTAAAATTGTTTTTCCATTTGCAGTCAGCTGATTATTTTTTTTTCGTCTATCTGTTTGGCTCAGCTTAAAAGCTGGTCAAATTGACTTAAAAACTGGTTTTTGAGTTATATAATTGTTTGGCAATACTTAAAATAACTTATTTTAAGTTAAAAAAAACTTATTTTAAGCAAAAAGTTAAAAGGTGGGGTAGGGGTGTTTTATTTTTTTAAGCTTATAAGCTGTTTTAAGTTGATCACATTTTTTTCTTTTTGCCCTTATATTTTTATACAATCTCCAAATTACCCATATAACCCTAACATTTCTTTCTTCCATTTTTCCCTTTTCACGTTTGACATAGCAAATTCAGCACTTTTATCCAAACGCATAACTGCTTATTTTAAAAATAAGTTTCAGCACTTTCAAAAGTACTTTTTTAAAGCTGCTTTTATTAAGCTCATCCAAACGGGCCCTTAGAGTTTGACTATAGTGAATTTGTATCTATGCGGGTCATAAGTTATATTAGTTTTATTATGTTTGATTCAAGTTGTCTTAGGTATAAAAGTAACATATCTAATATCATGTTTGATTAGTAAGAATTTAATTGTTATATAAAAGTTATTCATATAGTAATTTATATGGTGTTTTGTTGCATTTTTTGTAGTCATACATAATTAATATCAATATAACTAATGAGAGAATCTATTAAAAAGTTATGCAAGATAAAATGTGGAATAGTTATGTGTGTATTAGTTAGTTATATATATATATATATATTACAATGATAAATGACTGATACTGATTTATTTTATTCTTTTAATAGGAAACTTTACTGTTTTCTATTATATATAGATTACTTTTATTTCTTTTTACATATTTACAATTTTTATTAATTTAAGCAAATATAAATACTTTTAAATATAAAAATTTTAGTTATATATTTTTTAATTGTAGATATGCTAATCAAATATTAGCATTATATATTATTCATTATATTCTACATTTTATTAGCATATATTATTATTTTGTAATTAATATATATTAATAATCTACAGCAAGTTTAATATTCAATAGTTAATAATTCATGTATTGTAATCTCTACATAACTAAATAAAAACTTACATAACTAATATCCGCATAGCTAATACCCACATAATTAAACTCAACATAACTAATATCTGCATAATTATGCCCTGCATAACTAATAATATCTACATAACTAATACCTCCATAATTCTAACTAGTAACCAGACGACCCTTAGAGTCCCTATCAATGACAACTCAAGACCAAACATAAGTCTTTGGTAAAGAAAGGAACATTCTCATTTGAAAAAAGTTTGATTTAACATAAATTATTTTTTTATGTTGTAAACATATGGATGTCACAATATTGTATATAAATAGTGTGTGCAAAAGTGTGATTTTTGTATGCAGCTTGTGCCAAGAGATGGATGACTTGTGTCTGCCATCCACTACCTCGTGCACATTGCCTATAAAAGGGGCATTGCACTTCATTTGAAAAGAACAACGAATGAAGAAATATACAGTACTTTACTCTCTCCATTTTTCTCCTTTTTAGTTTGTTAATTTTGGTTAGTTACTTTATAATACGTTATTAACACGAATTTCTGTCAATTTAAGTAAAGACTTTAAAAGCTTGAAGGTATAAATTTTCCTTTCTTAGATAATGTCGAATCTATTTAAATTTGAATTTCTTGTTTTAGACATATCGAAAAAAAAAACTATCTATCATGGGTACTCAATCCAGAAATTCATCTTGATGTGATGGGTCTAGAAGACACCATACAAGAAAATAATCAGACATCGAATCAAAATCGTGCTAAGGTAATGATATTTCTCCGTCATCACCTTGATGAAGGTTTGAAAATGGAATATCTAACTGTTAAAGATCCTCTGGTGTTGCGGAACAATTTAAATCATAAATACGATCACCTGAAGTTGGTCGTCCTTCCACAGACACGTTATGACTGGAACCATTTTACACTTCAAGATTTTAAATCTATTAGTGAGTATAACTCTTCCGTGTTTTAAATTATCTCATAATTAAAATTATTCGGAGAACATAACACTCACCATGATATGCTAGAGAAAAACTTTTTCCACTTTTCCTGCCTCGAGTGTGCTCCTGCAACAACAATACCAAGAAATGGAATTTGAAAAATATCTAGAATTAGCTTCACATCTCGTTGTTGTTGAACAACATAATGACTTACTTACGAAAAACCATGAAAGTCGACCTACTAGCTCTATGCCATTTTCTGAAGTAAATACGATAAATTTTCACCAATCTAGGCGTGAAAAAGGTTGTGGCTCAAGTCATGGCCATGGTTGAGGAAGAAATTTCAATCATGGTGATCTTCATGCATTAAATAATAACCTTAACCAACAGTAATGTAAATAGAAATATAAAAAGCATGAAGTGGTATAAAAGAACAATTCAAGCCACACATGTTATCGATGTGGTGGAAAAGGGCATTGTTTACGAACCTTTCGTACACCAAGGCACCTAGTTGAGCTATATCAAGCTTCCCTCAAGGATGTGAAAAATAAAGCCAACTTTATCTCGAAAGATACAGTGAAATCATGCATCTAGATGTAGCGAATTTCTTTGACAATCTCGAAGGAAAAATAAATCACCTAATAAGTGATGGATCTGTAATAATGTATATATATTTTTTCTCTCCGTCGTTTGTATGAACTAGTATGAATATGTTTTCCTTGACTTGTAAATAACTAAAAGATTGTGCAATTTTTTTGTTTAGTAATAATATTATAATGTTTACTTCGTTTATATATTTTATCTTAAAGAGTATATGGATGCCTCTCAAATTTTGATCAATGATCAATCATGAAGATTTTTTTGTGTAATTGATAGTGAAACAACGGACACCATATTCAAAGATGAGAAATACTTCTCCTACTTGCTTAGAAGAAAAGAAAATGTTACTACAATTTCTGATAATTCAAACTTAATAGAAAGCTCCGGAAGAGATACTATATTTCTGCCTAAGGGTACAAAACTTGTTATAGAAGATGCATTGCTCTCTTCCAAATCCCTAAGAAACCTTTTAAATTTTACTGATATTCACCGAAATGGATATCACGTTGAGACAATAAATGAAATGAATGTTGAATACCTTGGTATTACCTAGATTGTCTCAGACTAGAAATATGTGTTGGAGAAATTCTCAACTTTATCTCCTAGCTTGTTTTATGCAAAAATAAGTACAATTGAAACTCTATCGTAAACCAGAAGTTTACTGACTTGAAAATTTTTGTGCTTTGGCATAACTGAATAGGTCATCCTAGATCAATAATGATGAGATGAATCATTGAAAACTCAAATGGACATCCATTAAGAAACCTGAAGATTCTTACGTGTGATAAGTTTTCATGTGTTGTTTGTTGTCAAGGGAAGTTGATTACTAAGTCATCACCAATGAAGGTTAACATTGAATTCCCTCAATTTTAAGAACGTATACATGAGATACATGTGGACCTATTCACTCATCTAGTGAGTTGTTTAGATATATGATCCTAATAGACGTATCTTCGAGATAGTCTCATGCCTCTTATCATCTCGTAACCAGGCTTTTGCAAAATTATTGGCACTAATGATACGATTAAGAACGCTATTTTCAGATTATCCCATTAAGGCAATTCGGCTTGATAATGCTCGCAAATTCACATCCCAAGCTTTTGATGCTTATTGCTTATCAGTAGGGATAAAAGTTGAATATCTTGTAGCTCGTGTTCATACTCAAAATGGCCTTGCTGATTCATTTATTAAGCGCTTACAATTGATACCAAGACATATACTCATGAAAACTGAGTTGCCCACTACTATTTAGGGTCATGCTATCTTACTTGCATCATCACTTGTTCATCTCAGACCGACTCATTATAATAAATACTCTCCGTCACAATTAGTATTGGTTATGTTTAACCAAATATTGCTCATCTACAAACTTTTGATATGTTGTATGTGCTAGTAGCACCACCTCAGTGTACTAAGTTTGACCCCCAAAGAAGGTTAGACATATATGTTGAATTTTGATTCACCCTCCATAATGTGCTATCATGAGCCGTCGACAGAAGATTTATTAACTGCAAGATTTGCAGATTATCAATTTGATGAAACAAAATTTTCGCAATTAGAGGGAGAGAAAAAGAAACTTAAAAGTAAAATTGCATGGAAAGTTTTACCATTATCTCATTTTGATCCACGCTCCCCTGTGTGTGATCAAGGATCCCAAAGATCATCTATGTGCAAAACATAACAAATTAATTGCCAGACGCATTTACTGATATGAAAAGGATAAAAAAATTCACATATTCTTGTTGTTAATGTGCCTATCCGAATTGACGTCCCAAAAGGACCATCTACAAGTGTCATGACTTGTGAATCACAAACACCCAACATGGTAGACCATTGGGTTCAAAGGATAAAAATCCTAATAAAAAAAATGACAATACAAAAAAATCTCATGAAGAGATTCAAGCTCTGATTAATCATGACACTCCTGGAGAGATCAGTGAACCTGAGACTCAAGTGAATGAAGAACATTCAATAAGTTCTAAATGCGATGGGATAAGTTTAGATCGATCAAAAATTATAGTGGATAATGTTTTCACATATAATGTTGAACTTAACATTATGCAACACAATGAGGATCTTGAACCTCTATCTGTCGAAGAATGTCAACAAAGATGTGATTGTCCAAAATGACAAGAGGCAATTCAATCAGAATTGAATTCACTTGCTAAACATGAGGTTTTTAGACCATTAGTCCAAACGCCTAGTGATGTTAAATAAATTAGCTATAAATACGTCTTTGTACGAAAAAGAAAAGAGAGATGATTCTCTTTGTCGACTATGAAGAAACATATTCACCGGTTATAGATGCAATAACTTTTCGATATCTCATCATTTTAGTTGTACATGAAAATCTTGAAATTCATCTTATAGTTGTAGTTACAACTTACCTTTACGGTTCACTTGATAATGAAATTTATATG